TGGCAGATCCAACTTTCCAACAAGATAATGCCCGACCACATGTTGCAGGAGTCACAATAGACTTCTTTCAACGTAATGATGTCACATTGTTAACATGGCCTCCAAGATCTCCCGACTTATCCCCAATTGAGCACGTGTGGGATATGATGGGTAGGAGATTGCTCAATTTGCAACGTCCTCCTCAGACTCTAGAAGCACTTCGATAGGAGTTGGTGGTTGCCTGGAATGAGATACCACAGGAGGACATTGACCACCTGATCAGAAGCATGCCTAGGCGCGTTGGGGAATGCGTAGCACATCAGGGTGCATCCACACATTATTAAAAGTCAAAGGGCTTTAAAGCAGTGCAATCATTTTGAAATTTTTATCATTTACTTATTATGCTTCATTAAGTACTTATACAAAATTTTATTAAAATAAAACCATTTAAACTGGGTGTTCGGATTTATATGTCTCTTAGTATATATTTTATCTAAGATTTTGAGGGTATGGTAGTAACGACATAACCAATATGCATAGAAATGCCAAAAACGACAACAGTGGCGTAGAAATCAGGGTGTTGTGACCTCTACAGAAGAGAAAAGAAAATTATTTAACATTTAGTATATTTTTGAGTGAAGTATTAAATTTTACATGACTCGCCTCTCGTGAGAAGTATTTGAGAGACTGAGAAAAGTTGGTTTGAATATATGAGATAAAATATATTTAACAGTACTTTGTCCCATACTACATACTTCCAAAATACGGTGAAGTTGGTAAAGTTGGTAAAGAGTAATCCCATATGTTCATAGTGTTGCTTAGACAATAATCTTGTTTTATCGTTAGTCTTATCAGGTGAGTAGAAATTTAAAACATCTTGGTAATGCGACATGGCGCCCAACATTTTTTGTTATTATTGGATGTACTTTCTACCATGAAAATAGTGTGAATAGTTACATATTTTTCTGAATCAGTCTATGTATGTATAGGTGAAAGTCAAGAATTTTCGAGATGTTCAGTACTTACTATTATGCAGGAATCATCCGTAGCTCGGCATCTGGATCTAAGTTATAAAAGCAATGTCAGAAATTCGTAAGGATTTTATTAATATTTTACAGTCAAGTTATATAAAGTTAATCATGTGCAAAAATATCAAACGCAATAGAATAACTGTTATTCCGGTAAGAAAAACGTCGACGTGGTAGTCATTCATTTACACTTTGCACTATAAAAATGCCATTCAGCTGATAGGATTGGGTTAATTATGCATAATTCCTGTCATCAGATGTTCGTTATGAGATTAGCGAGTCCCTCATATCATGTCGATTTGCGCTGCTGTGTTATATTAGATATGCGCTGCTTAGATTCTATCCCATTTTAATACATGTATGCCCTTATTCTTGCCAACCACGTCCCGAAACTTATAATTGATAGAGCTTTGGTGGTGCGGAGAGCGCTAGCGCTGAAAAGCCGGCGAGTGACAACAAACTTGGGACATCTGCACGAAAATTGCATACTTCGGTTTACGAAAAATGGGCGTAAATTATAATGGTGCAATTTTTAGTTTTGAATCCAGGGCGATATCGGCATCATAGTAAATTCTATAATGCACTGAGACAACGTGGTCAATTAAATAGTTCTGCTGCAAAATTTTCATTACCCGTAATATTTTTTTAATTATCCTAAGTACGTTAACCGTTCTAATTAAATTGAATTTGGTGGAAGCAATATACTCTTAAACTAATTTGCTTGAAAATAGAAAACCATGTACCCGTGCTGTTAAACAGTTTTATTGGTTTAGGTAATTTTAAATATAAACTCTTTATTTGAATCGTAGACTCAGCCCTACGTTCGTGAATGATCGGGAGATTGCGACAGAGGCAGTGCTCGTGACGCGCTTCGAACTCCACAGTTTCATTTGTGATTTTTGCGAGCAGCTTCATATTGCCGTTGTTAGTGTACTAGCCGTGAAGTGGGTCACTTATGGTGATCAAGTGACATACTTGCGCATAAAGCGCTTGCTGCTCCGTAACCATGGCTAGAATATTTCTCGCTTTCAATGAAACACTATGTATAGAGGAGTCACTGCTGACGTGTTGGAAAGGCAAGAACATTTGAAATTTTATTTATGCAGTCATATTCCGGTGAACGAAGGGCATTTATACCAAACATGTGATTGACATAGGCTTGATGTGCGTTTTTTTTTATATTGTATAATGTATATACTATTACAGGAAGTGGAGCCTCCTGTTGGTGCCGACTGTAATATTTGAAAATATCCTAGTTCATTTAAAGTGATGTGAAATTGATTTATATACGTAAATACGTTTAATGCGAGCTAATATTGTTTAATATTAACTATGAATAAAGTGCAATTTTTGTACACATGGTCAACTGGCCTTTATTCAGTTTCAGATATCCCTTTTCGTAAGTTCTTAATTAAAAATGAAGAATCGCTCCTAGTGACTGGTGATTTATTATAACCTGTTTCTGGACAGACAAATAACTGGCACAACTTGATCCCATATATAATAAGTTCATAATCTATGGAAATGCAAAATATCGAAGTTTGTTAGAGTTATAAAATTCAGATGTTCTTATTTTGATTTGAATGCATCAACTGTCAACATAAATTTTTCCAAATCATGTGATAGGTATCTAAGATCTGTCAGAGCTCACTTCATATCATTCAGTAAAATGCAATTTGTTCTTTTAAATTCCAAATATTATCCAAATATCCTTTAAATCTAAATAAAATAAATCATTGAAACTAGCCAAATACTTTTTCCTAAACAAATTAAACAACTTTAATAGATGTAATTAAATTGTTGATGCTTGGAGCAGGTAATAGCTCGTTAATTTTAAGTTAATTGATATACTCAATCTAAGTAAATGGTTTAATAAATCCAATTAAATGATTGCGTTTTGCCCTAGTTAACCTAGTTTTACACATTCAGGTTTTAGGATTTGGAGTTTAATCAAGCTAATTGAACCTATTAGCTGTCACATAGCTAAATGCATTTTTTAATTGGCATGATTTATAAAAATATTAATTGGTTAGACTAATTTTTTTCTCACTGTAGTCGTATTAATGTTGCAGTTACTTTTCTCGAGCATATGGGTATTTGGAAGATGTGTCAAATTTATTTGCAAATATGTTTGTAAATAAATGATATTTGAGCGTGTGCGACGTTATTTTCAATCAAGTTTGTATATTTGCAAATACATTTGATCAAATTAAAAGTTTCTGATTTTGTATGGGTGAGGGCCTTTTCAAGAGCTGAGAATTTGCTTGTGCGTGGCAAGTCTAGTAGGCTGTTTCAAGGTTAACGTCCTCACGTCGCGTCATGCGGAGTTGTCTTTGATCAAGTTTAGACGTGTACTAACTTAAGATATGGCGATTCCAAACAACGAAAAGTGGCACAGTTTTTTTGAAGTATATCGAAGTTTGCCCGAACTGTAGCAGATTAAAAGCGATGTGTACAAAAATAAATCGAAGAAAAACAAAGCTTGGGAAATCCTGTTATTGGAATATAAAGAAATCGATTCTGAAGGTACTGTGTAAAAATTAAAAGCCAAAATAAATAGCATTTGAACTACCGATTCTGTAAAATCCGGAGCAGGTGAGGACGATGTGTAGTGAGGTGCAGTCTCCAGGAGTTGATTCAATTGATTGCGAAAACAGGGAAACAACAAATATAGCACCACAGCCTAAAAAAAGTAAAGAGAGATTTCAACAAAAAGCAGATGAACATTTGGAACATCCTCAGAAGCAGAAGGATGCCGCTGCGACTTTTTCTGAGTACTGGGCCTGTATGTTTCGAAAACTATCGGATACCCAACAATTGTATGTCAGAAAAGCTATACACGACATTTTTTTGTTGGGGCAATTGAATCAGCTTACACTAAATACTATGTCGATACCAGCATCAAATACCTCTTCACTTTCAAGTTCTAACACCTCAACACCTAATTCATGTCCTTCTCCTTCTCCAATACCTTCAAATGGAATACTACTCGTACTTCGGCAATTAACTAGTCATCCACCGACATTCACAGGATTTCAACATCAACAAATTCAACAAACAGAACCCGTTGAAAGATATGAAGGCGTAGCAGACGTTTTCAGCAACCCAAGTTGTGTTAAACCTATTAATACTGTTGATTTGAGTATAATTTAGTTATAATTTAAGAATTAGGTTTATTATCTATTATTATTTATGTTGTTTAAGTTGTAAACGTATGTGGGTTTATTTAGAAATAAAAAACTGAGTTCATTGACTATACTTTATTGGTCAATATTATTATGACTGATTACATTACAAAAGTCATCCCCTGTTCTTTTTGCTTTCTTGAATTTCTGGCATGTGACTGCCCAAGAGGTACCACGTTAAGCCCATCTTGCGATGGACTTCAGCTTCTGGTTACATTTACTGAATTTGGTGTATCCTGATGCCGCTAAAAATTATGTACTCGTAAATAAGAACAGGTCAGCATAATAGTCGCTGCTTTAGCGGAACATGAATTTATCGGTTTTAATAGGACTTGAAGACGATTGGCCAGCATTCCAAATACATTTTCCACTTTAACCCGAGCTGAAGTGAGTTTCGCGTTAAAAAGCTCCTGCTGTCTACTTATATGATATCCTGTGTAGGCTTTAAAATGTTTTCCTTTAACGGAAATGCATCATCTGCTACAAACACAAATGGTACGATTTGTTCTCCAGGTCCCACTACTCCAGGTGGTGGAATTTGAAGATCCCCTTCCGATAATAATTTGGCAAAATTTGTGTTAGAAAATACACCTCCATCTGACACGCGACCGTTGTGCTCGACATCAACCATTAAAAATTGCAGATTATCATTCACGACTGCGATCAAAACAATACTGAAAGTCTTTTTATAGTTGAAGTAAAAAGATCCTGAGTGTGCTCGCTTTTTTACTTCCACGTGCTTTCCATCTATAGCGCCGATGCAATTTGGAAAAACACAAACGCCTTCAAATAGCTCCGCGTCTTTTCGTCATTCATCAGGCGTTTCAGGTAACTAAAATGAAATGAACAACATAAGTTTGTACTATATTTGTTTTAATATGGAATACATACCGTAATACAATCTGTCAATACGTGGATAATTGTCTGACATGTTTCAATGACAATTTTTTATATAGCTTGTGGAGACCCTGCGTAAAAAAACTTCAAGTCTTTAAAATCATTTACCTTTGCTAGGAATCGGAGAGTAATATTTAATCTTGTTTCGTTATAAAAGGCCCAACTTTTTAGAGATGTTCATCAAACGTTGCACAGGTCATTCTGAAGTAACTTTCTTTAAGGTGCGTCAACAATCTTCCATTTGAAAATGTCTCCTTCTCCAAAAGCCATTTTTTCATCTATGTTCTTAGCTTACGCGTTTTAACTGAACAACGATACCTTCGCTGATTAATTCACTAATCAAATGAAAGTTGCAAGTTTGTTGGCTTATTTGTCTGAACGTGTGTGTTGGAGGGGTCAAACCACTTTCCAAACATATTTGCAAATAAATTTGACCGTGTATGGTTCACTTAAGAGAACAAAATGCTGCTCGGCACCGGTAATACGTATCTTGAAAAGTGACATTATGCTGATTTTTTTTGACATTGTATTTGATTAGCCGACAGGCAGAAAAAAATGAGTGACGATTTTTCATGATGTACATATCATATAACATGCAAAAAACATAATATCCCATTTACGAAAATTTTGCAACAACAAGACTTCTCTGCCAGTGAGCTTGTGGAGTAAGATGGATGCCAGGATATTTTCAGACGATTTTGACAATGTTGCTTGCTTCATAATAGAGCTACCCGTTTGATAGTGGCAATCAGGGTCCCATCCATAATTTCAAATTGAGTAAGATCGATTTTATCATTTAAACATTGATTCACATATTGTTGGGCATTAGCTTTTCGTCTAAAGTTAGCGATTACGGCATCCAGCTGGCCAATAGCTTTCTAGACACTAATTGATGTTTCAAGGTATGTAAATGTGGTATGCCTGCTCTAGTCAGCCCATATGCCCATTACGACCTATTATTCATATACATGGTGTCCAATAAGTACCACAACAAACTTATGGAGAAGGTAGGCTTTGGACTGACTTCTCAAATAACAAAAACTTACCTATATAAAAGTGTCACCGTTTTTGAGTTATTGAATTTTTTCTTAAATTTTAAAAAACGAACCTTTCATCTGTGGCCTTTAGCTGCTTGTACAAATACGGTTATACTTGTTCATTGTCTCTATAAGATACTTCTAGATAGTTGCTTTATCATATACAAATGCAATGTAGTTAAAAGATATTAAGGAACCATCATAAAATAAGGACTGTTTTGGGATTTATAACCTGATATTGTTTCCTCAACTTTCATAAAATTATATCAGGGGCAGGTAATAATAATGTAGCTTTGTACTATTTAGCATGTCACTGATCGCTAACCAGTGCAACTTCAATTTAAATCCAATAATTACATTGTAGTGTGTGTCAGTCACTTACAAAAGCAGCTATCACTTTTTTCTATTCCAAATAGTACGTGTGGTGCCCTTCTGAATCTGTATTCAATGAGCAATCTTTTTATTCAATATAATGCAGTTATAGCTCAGTACATTTTTGTTTTACTACAGATGGTCAAAGTTAAGGAAAAAATATCAGAAAGTTATAAATCCCAAAATAGTCCTTATTTGTTCACGGTTCCTTATTATCTTTTAACTACTTGCATTTGTATACGATAAAGCAACCACCTAGAAATATTTTATAAAAAAAATCAACAAAGTATAACCTTATTTGTACATGCAGCCAAAGACCAAATGTCCATTTTTTAAAATTTAAGAAAACATTCAATATCTCAAAAACGGTGACACTTTTATATAGGTAAGTTTTTGTTATTTAGTCCAAAGCCTACCTTCTCCTTAAGTTTGTCGTGGTACCTATTCGACATCCTGTATATGTAAAAGTTCTAGAGTTGCTGAAAAGCTAGCCAACACAGATTGAAGGCATGTGTTGAAGAACACACATGTTTCCTATAAGCAACGTATTTACACAAGTATATCAAAACATGTTGACGAAAGCCCAAAAAATTGTATCCTTAACTTTGATTTTATGGTTGCGAATTATTATTTTTATATTTTTCAGCGGCTTGATAAATATTTTTATTGCGGGCTGTCTAAGTGGAATGTACCACTTTCGATTGAATGTGTTACATAGAGTATTTATGTATATTTATATGATTCTTGCTTGCTACTTTTCTCTCGCTGCTTTTATTTTTATGTATGACATGTGCTCTGTCGGTGCTGAAAGTTATTTTTCTCAAACTATTTGTACACTGGCTAAGACTAAAATCAATATACGTCAAAATACTGATTTTATTCGATGCTATTAAGCTATTGCTTTGCAATTTGCAATCGACTTCAAAGTTACTTGTCCCTTAATCAGAAATTTGTAAAAATATTATTACTCAAACATTGCTGTTTGGACTATGGACATCCAACGCTCTCTCCTAGTATCAGGCGTTATCACTATCACTTTCAGCCGCAGCACCATGGTCCAAAAATCCTGGAACATGGCAAACACTACAAATATTCACTAAAATTCACCAAAAAATCTATTCCTGTGCTTTAGAGGGCACTGATAACGCATATGACACCTATTTGTCATACAACAAAATGGCGGATCCAATATGGCGGACATGTTAGTAAAAACATGTTTGGAGCATGCTAAAATTCAAATTACATATGCTTTTGCGGTCGCTGATAACGAATCAGATATCGATTCTTAGGAAATCAAACGGCAAATCAAATATGACGGAGATACCTGGATTGCTCTAAGATTGTAGCATTTTGTGTTTTGAGAGTTTCTGGTTCTGAATTTAGTATCGGTATGAAAAATGTTTTAATTGCACCCAATTTTGATATCTATATATTTTCAAGGCATTTTGCCAACTAATAAATGTTTCATAATTGTCACACTTTTAGTCAGCTGGAGTCAAATTTTACATTTTTCTTAGCCAGGTATTTTTAATCACATTATGTAGATTTTTACTATGAAAAAGAAAACAGGTTCTTCTTCTTCTTCTAATTGAGTTGTCGATGATATTAGATTTACGTAGATAATGACGCTAGAGGTTCCAATTCAGGTAACAACCACCATTATTAATAGCATATTCGCGTAGAGCTCAAGATTCCTCCTTAGAGTGCATTTTCATAGATAAGGTCAAGTGGCCATAAGTATGGTTTGTACCTAATGTAACGTCTTAGTAGTACATGAACACACATTTTTTGAAAAAAAATTAAATAGATACAATGATGTGTTGTTGCTTTTCAAACATTACACTAGGTCATACTTATTGAATCGTTTATGATCACTTGATCTCATGTATCTATGAAAATATCGTGAAATATCGAGTGCCACGCCATTTCACTGCGAAAAACCGGGCTATTTGCATTTACAAACTTGACCTCCAAATAACCTTTGAGGTAATTATCTAGGTCGTATGTGAGATCATCGACAATTTTGACATTCGTGACTTTTTTAGAACCTTCTTTCTTTCGAAAAAATGCGTGGTTGCCAACTTTTAGGGGTGTTCGAGAACTTTGAAGAAGCGTTGCATTAGGTCATACTGATTGAACCATTTATGACTGCTGCCAAAAATGGTGATAGCAAATTGAATCTACAAGCTCGACTCTCAAATCTCCTTTGAGGTCATCTAGGATCCAGGTCATATCTGACCTCATCGCTTCTTTGATATCATGTGACCTGTAACAGGACCTCCCTTTAAAGTAATGCGTGGTCGTTAAGTTACCGGGATGTACTGATTGAAAGACTTGACCTCATGTATGGAAGTGCAGTTTGATGTAGATTCTTGAGCTCTACATTAACCTAGGTTAGAAATCATTGACAAATTGCTTTTTTGATATCCTGAAAATTGAATTGTCGAGTAGTCGATATGTTTCGGTATCTGATAAACACTATAAACTGGGGCTTTGCACCCGATATAAGAAAATGATATCTGAGGTGTTCAACTAACCGACTCAGCATCTACTAGATTGAACAGTTTGTATTTTTAAATTTTGAGATGAATACGACGATGTTCCTTTATATTTTCTTCTGAATCTGTTATAAGCTAAACACAATTAATTATTCTGTTTATTTCTTTTACACATACTTTCCCCCATCAGAGTATTATTAAAATGTCTCTTTGTTTATATTAAGTAGTTCCTGTTAACAGAAATCTTATAAACATTGTAATTTTTAGCAAACAAAAACGCATATGTGGGGATTGATATACGACCATCCACGTGGATAAATATGTTTCGGATACGGCCTACTTGAATAGAATGTGTTTTTATAAAGCTATAAATTGCCTCTAATGGAGCTCTCAAAACTCAAACGATCCATAAAATCTTATCGCCTTCACATTAAGCTTATGTGCTGTAGATGTAAATATGTTCCGTGAGACTTACAATGTATTGATCGACCAGCCAAAGATTGCTAGGGACGAAAGGGGGAAATGCGATGAAAAAACCTTACCATTAGACGATTTTATATGGAGTCATAGGCGGAGATCGGAGAGACTTGAATTATTAATTGAATTTATATTTTATTACAACTGGTAGTATTAATATTTTTTTGCGATTCATAATGACGTGATACCAAACATACATTATAAGAAATAAATATACACAAACACTGAATATTGAGAACAAAATAAATATATTTTTTAGGCAACAAGTAATATTCCTATGTACGCATTATGATTGAACAGCAAAACAAATTATGCATTCTTCTAAAATAGAATACAACAAGTCAAAAATATCTGACTGAATAGAAAAATATAGGAAAACAAAAAGTAATTTCTTGATGAAATAACCCATAAACAACACATAGAATTAGACTTTCTACTGAGATACTAAAAGCCACAAACCAATAGTATAATAAATGAATATCTAAAAATTCTAAAAGGTAGCCAATCTAGTATAGTTTCAATCCTGATTAGAGTCATGATCACTGTCTGAGGAACTGTCATTGCTATCACTTTCACCTCCTATGTTGATTATTATTTCTTCCTGTATTTCTTGAATGAGACTGTCTTTTTCCCAATATTCATCTTCAATTTTTATAACATGTCCAATAACCTTTTGCCAGTCACTGGCACTTACTGAAGCGATGGCCTTATTAGAAATTTCATCTAGTTTTTTTATAGTAAATTCGCCGCTTGTATTATGGCTTCTAATGAAAAATTTTACTTGTGCCCAAATCATCTCTATGGGATTAAACTGACACATATAGGGTGGCGTTCGAAGTGGGGTGTGTCCGAAACTTCTTATTAAATTATCTATCTTATAATTTTTCTCATCAGATGGTGGCCTATGTAGACAAGCTATTTCATAAAGCTCCATTTTTTTAGCATTAGGATCATGCTCTATACCTTTTTTGCTCAACCACGTGATGATGTCTCTTTTTAGAGAAGATCTAGTTGGAGGCTTGTCTTCCAAAGCTGAATGGTAAGGTGCATTATCCATTATTATAATACTATTAGGAGGAATGTTAGGAAATAGTTTTTCAGTAAGCCACTTCGTGAAATTTTCTTGGTTCATTTGACCGTGATAATCACCAGTGGCACAGCCAGCCTTGAAAATGAGACAGGCTCCAGGAACAAAACCATCTTGCGAACCCGCATGAACAATTATAAGTCGTCCTGGAAATGAATAAATAGCCTCATTTTAGTGTTATTTTAAGTTTGCCAACACCTTTTTGAATCACTATGTATAAAAAACATATTTTTGAGAAAAAAATACTTGCAAGGGATTATGTATTCAATTAGACAAATTAAATGAGCACTTATTAAGAATATTCCAAAATTGAGAAAAATGTATAATAAGCAAAATCGAGGTGAAAGAAACTTTATTACCTGTAGAACTTATATTGCTCAGGACACCCATAATTTCTTCGCTTTGCCAGCATTTCTTGAAAGTGAGGTCATTATCAACCCAAGTTTCGTCCAAATAAATAATATGCCTTCCTTCTTCCCGGAACTTTTTAATAGACCTAAGATACTTGTATCGCCAATGTAAAATACTGGGTCTTTCCATTAGTAATTTCCTTTTGTTGTGGCATTTACGCCAGTAAAATCCTTTTGCTTTTAAAAGCAGCCTCAACGATTCTTTACCAAATGGAAATTCCATTTCTTCCTTCAGTTTGATTAGAAGTTTACTACAAGTAGGTACCACTTTAAAATCACAGTAAAATTTTTCTATCATTCTCCGAATAATGGAAAAATCGACTCCATCAATTTTTTGGATCACAGAAGGGCGTGATCTCTTTTTTCCGGGAGAAGCTAAAGGCTGTGTGGAGGTTGCATTTTGCCTGTCTTTATCTTCTTTTCTAATTTTACTTATAGTTCGTTCACTAACACCCGTATAATATGCCGCCCTTGCATTTCTAGCTACCAGTGGATAAACGAAAGTATTGTTAGCCGCTTCTGCATCGCAAGCACGTATCACGTTTGCTATTATTTCCCTTGCCTGGCTGTGAATAACTTTCCCATGCTTGAATTCCATTATCACCACTAAACAGTAAATTATATTTTCAAAGTATTTGCCAACTGCCTACGCCTATGGGAGTAGGTTTATAAATGACCGTGCCATCGGCACGTTATTCTAGTTTCAGATAAGATAAGAGTTTTGGACCAATCAGCGACCGGATGTTTACCTGCGGCCTGGGTTTTCCAGCTACATTGCCAAATTCAGCGGAACAATTCTATATCTTAAATATGTTAATATGTATGGACCGCATTTTATGTAGAACATCTGACAACTTCGCAATTTTTTGTCCGCATTCTTTCGGCTTGCAATCTTTCGCTGGTCCAACATTATGTATAGTTGAATAATATTTTCTTCCTATTCGCAGAATGCTGGATTGAAAACATCGCATTCATGGGAGAGTTTTCCGACTCGATTTTTTTTTCATAAACACATCTGTTGGATGCCCCTTAACTTAGAGGTTGCCGTCAGTTGTTTGTTCCTCAGAATTAAGTTTTTTTTTATTTTTTAGTTTCTTAGATCATTCTAAATAAGAGATGACCTCAGTTACTTATCTTTGATCGTATCTACCAGTCTGCAAAAAATTGCATTTCTATTTATCAACACGGTTTCACGGAGTTTCTTTCGAATGTTAGCAACTTAGCGGTTTCTAGCCAGTTTCTATGTGAAACAGTTGACAGCAGGGGTCAAACTGATGTACTGTATGCCGACTTTTCCAAAGCTTTTGACAAGATCAGTCATGAGATTCTCCTCAAGAAACTTTGTTATCTAGTTTTACAAAATAATTATTTCTTGCTATTAAAATAATATTTTTCTAATAGACAACAATATGTATGTGTAAATAATGTGAGATCGGAAGTATTCACTGCGACTAGCGGTGTGCCACAGGGATTCAGTTTGGGACCCCTTCTATTCTGAATTTATATCAATGATTTGTGTGATTTACTCAATTGCAATAGCTTTTAAAATCGATGGTGTGTATTCACTAAGAGGCTGTAGTTATCCTGAGCTACTACATAGATTTGACTATCAGTCTTTGGAGAGCCGTAGATATCAGTTATCTGTACTTTTTTTGCAGAAGATTTCCAATGGAAAAGTAGATTGTCCTGTATTGTTGGCTCAAGTAGATATTCTGGTTTCTAGAATAACGTCTATACAATACAACACTTTCCTGTGCTAAATAGCTCAAACTAACTTACGAGTACTATTAAAGGCTCCGATTAATTTTATGTGCCGAAATGCCAACAAAATTTCAAGTATCTGTGAATTAAAGAATAAATCTCGAGCTCATCTATGATGGATTTTGGTCAAGTTTTTCATGTTTCTTCTATTTCTGTTTTTTTTTTGTTTTTCTAAGATATTATCATTTTGTGCTGTAACTACCATGTAAGCTATACTACTGCTTTTAGCTGTGTAAATGGTAGTCACTGTTGGGCAATAAACGCATTAATATTATTATTATTATTATTATTATTATGATTATTATTATTATTATTTTAGTGTTTTCCTCTTGTCCTATTGTGACAGTCTTAAGCGAATCCAGATCTCTACCCGAGATCAAAGCGATTCACCCGAATACCTTGCGGATAATGTGAGCAGTGCCCAGTAGTGCTATTTTCTGCACTTCAGCAACAGATGGTTTTCCTGGTAGTTGTGAGAGGTTGGTCTGCAACCCCTTTCTAAGGGTCCCTAGGGCTCCTACAATGACTGGAACTGTTCGGGTCTTAACGTTCCACATTATGCTTACCTCTATTTCCAGGTCTTTATACTTGCTTAACTTTTCTGCTTCCTTCAGGATTACGTTCGAATCGTTAGGAACCGCTACGTCTACTAGTAAGCAGGTGTTTGTTCTTTTATCAAGATACACTATGTCCGGGCGGTTCGCAGGTATGGTTCTTTCAGTGATGATGGGAACATCTCACATGATTCGAACATCCTCATTGTTTACAACTTTATTATTTCCTGGAGTGTGCTCATAATATTTATTATTATTATTATTATTATTATTATTATTATTATTATCATTATTGTTATTATTATTATTTCTTTTAAATTTCTCAGCTCTTGATTGTTGGTGGCTGGATTGCTTTCTTCGTCAAAACCGGGGGTATGCCTTACCCCTTTGGTTAGACGTTTCTAATAATGTGGGCTGTACCGAATATGGCTACAGTTTGAAGTTGGTAAGGGTTTAAGGTACCTGAGATTGCCTTTACATATGAGTCAAAATTCTTAGACACGGCACCTGTGGAACCTATTATAATTGGTACTATGTGCGTACGCATTTGCCACATTCTGTTTATCTCAATAGACAAATCCCGGTACTTCAGAAACTTTTCAGCCTCTTTGTCTTTCACGTTGTAATCTGATGGTACTGCAACATCAATTATAGTGCATAACTTACTTTTATGGTCTTTGATAAGGATGTCCGGTTTGTTGGCAGCAATTGTTCGGTCTGTTATTATAGGCTGACTCCAAAAAATGGTGACATTAGTTGCAGTTACAACCTGCTGTGGTTCATGATCATACCAACGCTGTTTAACGTCAATATCGAAATCTTTGCAGATTGAGTGGTGCAAGATCTTGGCAACTCTGTCGTGTCGTGTAACGTATTCGCGCTGAGCGAGGATAGGGCATGAAGACATTACGTGAGATATGGTTTCATTTGGGATCGTTGTTTCTTCCCAGTATCCGGTTTGAATGGTAGTTGGTATTTAAGGCTTGATCTTGTGCCGCTTCACCCTTTACGTTTGCCCTTGTGAGCCATCTCACTGTGTCTTCTTTGCTGAGGTTATGGTTTTGAAGTATTCGGGTAACATATTGTCCATGCAGGGCCTTCCCTTGCCATTTCTCCCTCAGTGCCGACTGGATACATATTTTGTACGTCACCTTTCTTTTCTGCAAGTCTGGCCCTAAGGATTCCCGTATAGATAACTGGCGACGGAATTTTGTTGCAGTTTGTATAAGGGACTTAGTTACTGGCAGAGAGAGATCGTAATTTCGGGCAATCATCATCATTCTGTCTGGGCTGTTTTCACAGTAGTCGCTTATACCTGAGTATTGCTGACTTGTAGGCTGCCTTAACTTGCTGTAGTCCCCTGCCTCCCTCTTTTCTGGAAACATAAAGCCTGTCGGTATTTATAAGTATCAGCATCTTCAATTTGATCATCGCTGAATCGTCTAACTGTATTGATTTGTTCTTCTAGATCTGTCTCATTTTTTCCAATCAGTTTCAGATCATCCATATAGAGAAGGTGGTTGACTTTGGAACCATTTAAAATGTAGCCAGCACTCATTCTATTCAGTTCAGCAGACAAATGAATGAGTGAGATACAGAAAAGAAGAGGTGACAGGGCGTCCCCTTGGAAGATGCCTCTTCTGATATTAATTTTTGATGTGACGATCTCAGTATTTTGACCTTTTAGATGAACCGTGGTACTCCAAGAAATCATCATTCGTTTGCAAAGCTCAATGATTTTGTCGTTCACACCGACAAGTTGCAGACTTTTTAGAATCCATGAGTGGGGAACTGAATCAAAAGCTTTCTTGTAGTCAATCCAGGCTAAAGTTAGATTTTGTTTACGTCTTCTGCAGTCGTCTAAGATATACTTTGAAAGCATGAGTTGGTCTTTACATCCCTTGGATCCTTTTATTTATTATTATTATTATTATTATTATTATTATTAAAAGTATATCGTTTTCGAGTTATAAGCAATGGTAATTGTAATTGTAATTGATAATCATGTAGACAATGTACGCAATATAAACAATATATACGAGTACAATAGCAAATATTAGTCCAATTATATATATGCAATATACTATAAAAGGTTATTGTTAAATTAGGAACATTTCTCAAATGTAATAAATAAATCCTATACACCAAATCCCAAAATAGACTGATTACACTGGTCGCCGTCGGCATCGTCAGTATTTAGATTGTCAAAGCCGTAATCAGTCAATGGTAAAGTATTACTCCATGCTTTCTTAGTACGTCTTCTTTATATACTTTCTGATTTGATTTGTGCTTATATTAGGTAAAAAAAAATTGGTAAAATAAACCGTATACATATTACGATTCGACTTTTTTGCAGGTATAGCACTCGACTGATCATTTTTTTCCGTTTTTGAACAAAACGAGCTCTACTTCATCAATTACTTATTATTTGCGCACCCAAGTCCTTATACTTGCCGGGTTACTAGTATTTTAACGTTAGCGAGCATCCTGAACCCACTCACCCCATTTTATAACTTGTCTGGACCATTGTATATACAGGGTGTTCATGTCAAAACTTCCCACCACTGATTAAAAGAAAAAACGCCGAGCACACGCCAAAAGATTTGTCAAGGGCGACAACTCTTCAACCAAAAACTACTTCACCCCTTTGACCCTCTAGACCGGGGTCATCCCCTTAAAAATTTTAAATGAAAAGAGGTATCGAGTATCGGCTCGTTTGGAAGGTCTTTCGAAGACCTTTATTTTGACGTTTGTTTTCTTAAATCGGTCGATTCGTTTTCAAGAAAATTAGACTTTAAGTTGTTCAGGTAGAAAACAAAAACAAACGAAAATATCACTTTTTATTTTAACAAGTGTTCAAAATGTTGCCCTTTATTGACCAAATAATGTTATAGGTGATGTTCAAATGGATGGACATTTTGCAAAACATGTGGGATTTCATGGCCGCTTTCGAAGATGCGTTGACGAAGTTCATCCAAACCTTCAGGTTGGGGAGTAAACACAATAGATTTCAAATGGCCCCATAGAAAAAATTCTATTGTTCTCAAATGAGATAAACAAGTAATAAGGTCCAAAACATACCTTTGCGAAGTTATCTTCTCTGTCTAAATTAGAATCATTTCCACTCTTTCGGCTAGTGTGTAAACTATTTTGGAAGGAAAATCTGAATCAATAAATAAATTTTCACTATCCCAAGATTGTCACAAAGGTAACTGACAGGAGATTAAGTTCTTCAAATAACTAAACAGGTATAACAATAAATACAGTTCGCGCAGGAATGTGTTGATGAAAATAATGCTGAAAAAAATCGGCTTGTTATTTGGTTAAAAACTTATCCCCCTTGACAAATCTTTTGTCGTGTACCGGCGTTTTTTTTTTAATCAATGGTTTTCGATAAATATGTGATGGGAAGTTTTCAAATGAACACCCTATATATATATATATATATGTCTTATATACATTGTATCAGTACTGTTTAGATCGTACATGCACTGTATACATTGTACACCTTGTCTACAAGTCTACATCAAAACGTAGACAATTAAAGAATACGTGAGTTATATCAGCCGTTCCTGCTGATATGCCAGGACTACTGGCGATGATGCTACTCATTTCATATCGAACGAATCCAACGGACTAATCAATGGGTATTGATCCTGCCACTACCAGGAGTTATCAAAATGAAATGGCACGAAGAAATGCAAATGAAAACATTAACGAGAACTCACCTACTTCATATTCCTGTCAACTGTCAAGCCGAAATCAATCATCAAATCATCAAAAATGAACTCGGAACGATTGTCGCGGGCCAGCCTATAATACTCCCGGATTTAAACCTGGACACTAAAGGCGACATCACAGAAACAAATTTCAGTCTGCATCTAGAAAAAATTAAGCTGGACGAGTTAAGTAAAATCAAAACAAGCATTATCAACAACTAACCCAACTTCAAGAAACCTGCAGACTTTTTTATTCCCAGTGCCTGGACACTGATAATATACGGATGTATATTACTCTTGGGTGTCTACACATTCTGGAAAACCATCTTGAAGAGGAGAAAGCTCAGAAATAGAAGTATTCAGCAACCAGAAGTCGAAATTCATTCTATTCAACTTCCGTGAAGAATTCTTCCCCGAAGTTGAATCTCAGGTAGGAAGAGTTATATCAGCCGTTCCTGCTGATATGCCAGGAATACTGCCGACGATGCTACTAATTTCCTAGAAGACCTAGAGTTTACCTTATTGTTCCCAACACATTTTATAGTCAGTTAGATTTAAGCCTTTGTACTGTTAACATCATAATAACATTGTAATAATTATGTAAAAGTACATTTTTGAGTTTTGTATTTTCGAACATAAACTTTTTAAAAAACGATCTCGAGGCATCGATCTTATAACTCGTGTAATCGCCCATCACCGGTGAAAACCCAAAAATGGACATTCTTCAAAAGTCGTACTTGGGGACCCAAATATATTTGTTATTCAATTATTCATAAACTGCTGTTGACCACTTGTACGTGTCTCTACTGAGTCTCGCCGTAGGAGGCCTTGATGGGTGACCGGCGCGGCGGCCCATCGCTCGAAACTGACAATTAAATAACTATGCTTTATAATAAACCAAACCCAAAATATCCTGTGAGTCTCTTGTAGGCGAAGGCTTGGACATTAATTCTGGCAAACTCAAAAACACTAATTACGGTGCAACATTAAAATGTTTTGCATTGTTTTTAAAAGCCCCATGTTTTGTCCTGAGCGAAAAAAAAAGACAATTATTTAAACACCGAGATAACAAACGTCGTTGCTGAAGGATCGATGCAAAAGTTTCTCCTACAAAAAAACTTCTCCAAACAGCGATGAGACATGAGGTCGAATAGTGATTTATTTCTGTCGATATATCTAACATATTACGAATTATGATTTTAGAGCCAGGCTTCTTTGGTATATTTATAAGAACGGGTATGTCAATTTCATCGCCAAGGATCAGAAACTGGGATACTAGTTGATTCACTGTATTTGTGTTTAATGAGTAGGGCACACTGTTGGCATTAGATACAAGGATCACCCAAAATACAAAAAGAATAATTGTATTTAGTTGTCTGACCTATGCACAAAATTTGCTTCCCACTTCGCAACAGCGATGAAGGATTGAAAATGTTCAATTCGGAATACTGTGTCTTGATGGCGTTTTTGTCGGTTGCTTCATCAGCATTATTTCGATCAGTCCAAAAATGTTTGGCATTTGTATAACTATCAAAATACAACTCGGATTTTGATACTATCTCAACTTTGGAGTTACTACCTATTCCTACGTTGAAAAACAACATTACGTTTTGAAAACCAGGCAAGTGAGGATTGTGTGCCAAAGCTACAAGCTTATGAGATTAGACCACAATAACTCGGGAGGTACCATTCAGAATATGATAAAATTGTCACGAGGTTACTACTGTAGTGAGAAAGAAAAGGTGGTATGGTATGGTCCAGTAATAACACAGCTACTGAAGCCCTTTTGCACCAAAATAAATATCTTTTTAGTCAGAATGACTGAATTCGTGCTGCAGCGATGTAATATCCCGTCCCTTCAGTTTTACGCACAGAATGGCCAGTATTGGTTTTGGAAGTCAAAAAAGGCTGCAATTAGGAAGCTTCCTATTGTCTCAAATACTTGCGTATACTAGTACTGGTATCTTTCTCGAAATTTAAGGAACTTATGACTTTTTCTGTATTGGGTGCTGATGCCGCCGCCCTCGTCCGTCAATGTTTTATCGTGACGTTACATTACATAAGTTTGGATTGTGGGCCACAGCATTAGCGCTCAACCCGACCAGTCCCAATATGTTGCTTGCAGAAGGATAAACAACTCCCCAATGATATCATGCTACATAAACCATAACTAATGTAATCTGTCGTACTTGAAAACGTCGGAACTTGGAATTTAAGGTAAAATAAAGTATTCTCTGGATTCTAGGTTATCATTTCTGCCTAAAAACTTCATGAAAATACATACATATTATATATGCTCCAAAACCATATATCTTGCAATGATAATATTAATCTCTTTATGGACTTGAAATTTAGAACGTCATCTTATAACAAAGTGACTTTTAGGAATAAGCACGGTATGAGTAATGTAACTTCTGATACACATCCTGTGCTGCTATATGTAGAAAATACGCGCCAGTCATACAGTAAGAGCTAGTAGGAACCAGCGTTGCCATTGATCCGCCGTGCGGAGGACTAAATGTTCAAAGTATTAATTTGGTGTCCAGATTGTTACTCGTTACTCCGGAATTAGTACTAGAGTAATGAATGGTAACTTTTTCAACACTTCTACCGTGTATACTCGTAGCATCCGACGATGTCGTCGTTTCAATTTTAG